TTAGTGCTTCTAACGTTCTCTAGACACACAGGGCAATTCTTGAACAATATGTTTGAGCTTTGCGTCCAGCTTTGGGTCTTTAAATACAATAAAACAAATTACTATATTATTTTTGATTTGATTTTCAATTAGAAATTATCGTACTAACTATTAAAACATGGACTGAAAATGGAGAAAGAAGTATTGATATACTGCTTTCTCCATGCTTGATTATATTTGTTTTGATACCAATATTAAACTATATTAATACATCCATAAAATATTGGTTGATACAGGATATTTTATAGGCTATTAAATATTTCTAAAATAAAAAAATTAGTTGTGATTTTGTTAAGGGGTGAAGTTCATCATGCTGACCTTAGTAAGGGAGATCACTATCATGAAAACATCTGGGTGTCTCAATTTAATAGCTTGAACCATTATCAATTGATAAATATGAATGAGAAAAATATTTTTAAGTAAGTAAGTAATAGTTTGCTTATAACACCTATTCGTTTTAGCGATCTAACACGGTTGTTAGGAAATGTGGGACTTGCATAGTCTAAGTGTACGGTTTTCCTCACCAATTTAGCGAGGAAGTCCGTGTACACCGATATAGCCATTACGACAGGATGCCAAAATGTTGCGTACAGCAGCAACACTAATATAGTCTTGATGTGCACCTGCGTGTGTAACAAACGTTAAGGGTAGTTATTTTACATGGGTTTTTTTTTTTTACAAAAATCTTTACTTCTGCTGTAAACCGAACGAATCTGTTTTGCGGTTTTATGTTGCACGGCCATAGGTCCATTTTTGATATGACTATCACGGTGCTAAACATAAACAATGTGGACGAAACGTTGAATTGTTCGTCGAAGGGAAAAATCTTCCAACCTACATTTGTTGTTGGACACGTTGGCACAGACTCGGAGATGGTGCAATACAAAAACGATGTAACTAACGCAAGCAATATTTTTTTAATGATTTTAATGGTGACATCGAGACAAAACTTCATTTTAGCTGTTGCGAAAACTACACAACGCTCATAACGGTTAGTTTCGAATATAAACAGTTAAGTAGGTGCTATTGAATAGCAACGAAAAGCGAGTTTTTTTTGTTTAAGACCAGCAATTGTTTTTTTATTTACCCAAAAACATGCCTTTTTAATGATCTTAATTGGATTAGATTTTTGTAAAAAAAATACACAGGTAATGTTAACTCTAAAACTGACAAAGTTAAAAATTTAAAACAAGAATATATTTATTAAATTTCCTAATTAAAAAAACCAAAAGCTCCCTTTGTGGCTTTTAAAGATTGGTGATAAAATATTTCAAAATATTGAAAAATATAGTACAGCGTGTACGGAAAAATCATGGAAAAAAAAATAGTACAGTGGGATCGGGGCCTAGTGAGGACGAGGAGGTCACAGGTTTACAGGAATTTTTAAATCTGAAAGTGATAAAATCACTTTCGAAAAAACGCTTCGATGCAAATCGGTAGTTAGTATTTTCAAGCCAGTACAGTCCAAACCAAGCACAGTATAATCCAGCAAAGTTAGAAAGTTTTAAATTAAGGTTCTGTATTTACAAATGAGCATCAAAGTGTTTATTTGAAAGTGATTTTATTCAATTTTATCACTTTTATTTATAACTAGTACAGTAGAGTATAGGCATAATGTAATCAAAGCAATCCTGAAGATGCCCAAGAATTTTATAATACTATTTTTAAACAAAACATTGGAATCAAACAATAATTTTGAAGATGAAAATGGTGTTTTATTATATAGTCCAGGTACTCATTATTTTTATTTTTTTATTTTATAATTAATCATTAATGATCGGTAAGTTAAATATGATCTCACGAAGAAGCATTAATGTTTCTACTGTCCTTACTCTTTTACCAGGTTTTTGTAATTATTACCAATTAATAGTTCGTGTCAATATATTTTGCTAAGTTATCAATTTAAATACATGGTGAATGGTGATTAACTTATAGTGAACCACTGAATATCTAATTGGGTTTAATTAATAATTTAATTTATTTTTCATTAAGTTTTTATACAATGTGATCTCAATTTCTCACAATTTTTTTGTTTTTACCTCCCTCTCAACTTAGTTTATTTGATAACAACTTTTGAAACTTTAAGTAACTGAAGGGTAACGCATACATTTTATATTTTTTTTAAATTAAGAATAATGTACTAAATATTTTGACTGGTCGATAACCAGTTTTGGAACTATTTTTAAAGTTATAAGAGTTTAAAAGTTAGGATGGGAGTGAAAGTGCCGTTGGTGAGTGCACGCAGATAAAAATAATACTACAATCCATCTTTCCTCCTGCCCTAAACTTGACACTTCAATAACATTAAAAATAGTTATCCAAAACTGGTTATCGACCATTCAACATTTTTAGTGCATTATTTTCAATTTTAATAGTTAATAAAATGTATGCGTTACCATTTAAGTTTCAAATGTTGCTATTAAAAAAACTATGTTGGGAAGGGGTGAAAACAAAAAAAAAATGGTAAAAATTGTGTAAAAAAACTATGAAGAAAAAAAATTTAATTTCTTGAAATAAATATTTATTTTCCATATATTACATTTATTTTTTAATTATTTATTACTTAAAGATTGAGTAAATATAAATAAAATAATAATATGTATTGTAATATTTTTCAAAACAATAAAAATGATGTGTTATGAAAAAAAATGTTTTCTAAAAAAAACTATTACTTTTTTTTTAAACGTATGAAGTCCGGAAATCGCACGTTTTGCAGCAAATCGAAACATGTAAACCTCTAAAAAGTGATAAATATGATGTTATATTTTATGATCGCTTTTCATTTCTAAACTTGTATCAACCCAACTCTGTCCCTAATGTTTACGGTTCTTGCCTGGACTTCATATTTTCCAATTAGAATTTAATCGGTCGTTACTTTATCAGATTTATTTGGTACCATTAGACTCTTACAATCCGGCATTGTTAACAAAACCCATCAACACGTCTGTCCTTGGTCGTAGTACTATATATCTTTAATTACGGTAATCATAAACAAATGTCACACTATTTAGGTTCTAACGATTGTTCGAGTTTGTGTGACATTAATATTGCGCTTGATTTTAAGTATTATAAATATTATAAGTATAAAATAAGTAAGCGACAGTAAGTGAAGATAAATAATGTTGTTTTCTCTTATGTTACCACCTTTCAATGTTCGATCGGTAGTTACAGCCTATGTGTAGTTGCTTCTGATCTTGGAATTGCTATCTGGCCCAGCGACGCCAAATAGTTATTTTGTGTGTATCCAAACTGATGCAACATTTAAAATCAGTTAACCCAGAAACACGTTACACGGACTTTTATACTAACATTTTTTAAAAATTCACTTTTAAAAGTGTTTTAACTTCGATAAGGAGCTGAGAATGTGTGCATCACCTTTTTCAAATTACTTTTACCAAAAAGTAAATTTTAATTATTTTGTTTAATTAAAATTATATAGCTTAACAAATTGTGCTACCGAAAATCTTAGTATCATTGTCTGTGTTTATCTGATATTTACTAATCTATTAGAATCAGATAATAAGTCGAAAGTTAAAATAAAAATACTTCAAATGCTTACCAAACAATACGCAATAATTTGCCAGAATCCATCGTAACAGAAACCTAATAGATGTACAAGTTTAGGCAAACGAATTGTTTAATTGTAATGGTAGGAATTGAGTTAATATGCAATAAAAAAATGTCTGGAAAAAACATATATTTTTAAGGTTTGGTACACATATGATATTACAAAAACAAATGTATAAAAAAAAACATTTGAAAGTGGAAAAAAAAGGTGTTAATATATTTGTATAATCATTCACGTTCTTACAAATAAGTACAAAAAAAAAAAAAAACAAATACAAATACTTAAAAAAAAAATTCACAAAAACTTTATGTTATGTCCTTATGCAGAAAATGTTTTAAAAAAACCTTTAAATTTTATATACTTTAGATGCATTTTGTTATTTCTTATGCTGTAAATTTAAATTTTTAAATAAAATGATAAATTAAAACAAGAAAAGTAGATAAATTGTAGTAACGTTTAAATTTTCATTTAATAAAGATTGTTTATTGATACTGAGGTGATATAATATCACTGGAGGACGTGACCTACAGTCCATTTATATATGATTATTATTATATTATGTGTAATAATATTATAAGTATTGGTTTTATATAGTTTAATATATATTAATAAGAATACGAATTATTATAGTTTTATTTACAAGAATATAAATATTAATAAAATTCATTTCTCAATTATTTGCTTCGTAGATGAACTTTTATTTTTCTGGCGTACACCACCATCACCATTTCCATCGCCAAGATATTTCCAGTCTTTTGATAGATTAAACGCATTGCTCAATGCTGTTTTAAATTCGCTATCTTTGGGTGGAACTTTTTCTGATCTTATAAATTCATTAATAATAGCATCTGTAACAAACGTATTATATTTTAATTTCAAACAGTAATTGTTTTATGTATATATGTAAACCACGTGACAAATGTATAGAAATATGATAATTTACCTTTGATACACCTAAAAATTTCAGTTAAGACAAAATTATCTTTATTTTTAGAAAATCCTTGAGCTACATAATGTGTGTCCAGGACTTGAGAATGAATAATTTCTTTCAAAACTCGAGCAACAATCAAGTAAAGACTTTTTTTTGGGTCAATAAAGTTTTTCATTCCATTACACTTTAAAAAAAACGGTTACAATTAATTAAAAATCTAGCAATAAAAAGAAACAAGAAAATAATATTTTATACTTACAATTAATTTGTAAAATTCAGGTTCATTTTTCAAGCGTGTTTCCAAAGCTTGCAGCTTTTCCTGTGTGTCACAAAAATATTTTTCCAACAGTACATAAATTGCAGTTTCACTTGTACTAGTTCTGGAAGGATTTGTACTCATATTACTTAAAATAGTTTTGAGCAATTGATTATTTTCTTGAGCGGTCTGAGATAGAGTAACCATCATAGACTGTATGGTACCTATTGATGCTTTGAGTTGCCTGTACTCAGCACTTTTTAAATGTTCTTTCGAAGCTGTTAGCGATTTCGTTGAATGGGCAACAGATTTATATAAATGTTTTTGGGAATCTAAAAAATGTTTTAATTAATATTATTTAGTTGGCCTATATTTTATTATAGAAAAAACGTATGATGTACATTAAATTCTAGGTAAATAGAAATATTTTAAACAATTGTACCTTTTTTCCCTTTAAATGTTTTTTTATCCGAGTCTGAAGATAAAATTTCAGATTCTACAGATTGTGTAGTACATATTGATGCATTGAGTTGCCTGCACTCAGCACTTTTTAAATGTTCTTTCGAAGCTGTTAGCGATTTCGTTGAATGGGCAACAGATTTATATAAATGTTTTTGGGCATCTAAAAAATTTTTTAATTAATATTAATTAGTTGGCCTATATTATATTATAGAAAAAACGTATGATGTACATTAAATTCTAGGTAAATAGAAATATTTTAAACAATTGTACCTTTTTTCCCTTTAAATGTTTTTTTACCCGAGTCTGAAGATGAAATTTCAGATTCTACAGATTGTGTAGTACATATTGATGCATTGAGTTGCCTGTGCTCAGCACTTTTTATATGTTCGTTCGAAGTTGTTAGCATTTTCGATGTATGGGCAACAGATGTATAAAAATCATTTTGGGCTTCTAAAAAATTATTAAATTAATATCTAGTTGGCCCACATATTATAAAAAAAACGTATGATTTACATTAAATTCTAGGTAAAAAAATTATTTAAAAAAACGTACCTTTTTTTTCTTTGAATGTTTTTTTATCCGAGTCTGAAGATGAAACTTCAGATTTTACATGCTTACGTTTAGCTGAAAAAAGTATTGAAACAAATCACATTACATATTTTTTTTTAAAAATATTTAACTTCCAGAAAAGCATAATCAAGTTCTCACTTTTTTTAACAGGTTGTGAAACTTCCATTTCTTTTTCCACGGTATCGTGATTCCTTTTTGTTTTTTTAGAAATTAAAGACCCAGACAAGTTTATCTTACCGCCATTTAACAGTTTTTCAATTTCGAATTGATTATTTTTATTAGTTTTTTGTTTATAATACTTGTAAACATCTTTTATTTTGGTTTCTGGGTCAGAATCGTCTAAAGTTGAGAGTGAATAAGGATTTTTTTTTAATTTCAGCAACCCTTTTAAAGCAGATGTCTGTGAATCTACAAAAAAAAAATGAGTACGACTATTTGTTGCTTTTGAATTCTAGATTTTTAATTTTCATTCAAAAACTAAACATTTGTATTATTTTTTTTAAAAACATATATTTTAAAATTATAAAAGCAAATTTTATTTTACTTTAATTCAAAATTACTTTTTTTTATATATATTATTTTTAAAAATTACCTGCATATCCTCTAATAGTTACCGGATACTTCTTCCAGGATTTAGGTGGAACTAAATTATCGTGACGATGAATATCTAAACGCTTTTTATCTGCTTTGGTTGATGGAAATATACTGACTAACTTGTTCTGATTGTTAAATTCTATCCAATCTTTTCGTACATAATCAAAAATGACGGCTTCTTCATCTTCATAAAAGTGGACAAGCACAAACGTGTGCTTGAACGAGTCATCATCTGACGATGACATATCTACAAAATTGTATGGTTTTAAACTTTGACTACCGAGTACCGAATACACCTACACTCATTTATAAATTATTACATTTATATAATATTATGTATCTATCAAAGTATAGACAAGTTGTAAAGAGTAAAATTTTTTTTTTTAAGGAAAAATAATTTAGGTAATAATATTACTTACTTGAAATATTTCTTTACACAAATAAAAAATAAATCTAAGCTCACGAGTCGGACGCGATAACTTATTTTATTGTACTAGAGGGTGACTATTTGGTTACCTCTGAGAGACAGACTTTTAAGCTCGTGTGGACCTCCTTATATATTGTCATGCTGGAAAATGGTCGCTGTAGATTGGTCGGGGGCAGGCTGTAGCAAGAATATTATCATTTACGCTTATTTTACAAAAAAATTGTAGATTATGTAATAATAATTTAAAAAAAATTATATACAGGGTAATTTTTAGCTTCGATGCAAAGCGAGAAGGTATTGGTTTTACTCTGATGTGAACTTTTTTTTTCGCTGTATACACTGTAACTTTTTTAATACTAGACCAATTCCTTCGAATAGCAACTCTAAAAATCACAAATTTTGTCTAGTTTGTACTTTGGAAGGGGGTAAAAGTTGAAAAAGTTTAAGTCTTCACAGACGAAAATTGAAAAAAAAAAAAAAAAACCGTACGAGTTTTTAAGTTAGAACTTTTACTGGCTATAGTATCGAGAAAAAGAATCGGATCGAGTTGAAATGTATAAGAAATATTTATTTGGTATGCCCGCGCACGTCAAATTTGTCAAATTCAAAATATACCCATTTCCCGCCCCCCTAGGGGGGGTACAAGTTTTTTTGTTTTTCGGGGTTTTTTGCCGTAATTTTAAAACTTTTGGGTTGAAAATTTGCCAGTAGTTGGAACTCATATGTATCCATAACATATTAAGCGGGTGAAAAATTCGGCACTACGGTTTTTTTTTAATTGCCGGAAAACCGTGTTTTCGCACATTGCGTATATTTTAACAAAAACACCTAAAATATTTAAAAAAAATTGATCAAATCATTAAAACAATTTTATTTATATCTATGCAGAATGATACTATTAGGTTTTGTGCTCAAGTACCACTCTTGACTTAAAGTTTACAAAAAATTCAATTTTTTTTTTTTTAAACTAAAAACACGGTGTACCAGATGTGAGAAACGAACAGACACTACTAAACTATCAGTTAGTAACGTCTATCCGTGTTAGGTTAGGTTAGGGCCCAATGGTCGGTATCATAATATTGTGTTTATTACATGATATCACAGACGACTAAATCGTGTAACTGATTATATTAGACACTCGATTTATTGGGGAAAAAACCTGTCCGTGTACTTATTAAGACACTTAATGATTCTGATACGACAAAACCACTGTCGTTATCTCGTTATTTAATAGCCTGCGTTATATAACCTTACCGAAGGTTAACTATGAGTATTTAATGTCCAACTACCTGCAAATAATGAAGAGGACTGTTGTTTTTTGGATTCAGATTAAGTGTTGGTTTTTATGCAGTATACCGCCTCAAAATGTTTTTTTTATTACACAATTTTTTTAAAGGAAAACTTATGTTTTGTATATTGTTATACTGTTATTCATTTAAAGAGATTCACGCTTGATTGTTTAAATTGTCTAATATTAGATAATCTGCTTCGTGCTAATTTTATTTTTTTAGTTTATCAACTTGTAGCTCTAATTTTGTAAAAAATATTTCATTATTTTATTTCTATGTACTATTACTATTAAGATAAATTTTAATAATAATTAAGTCATAAATGATAATACTTTATTTTATGACTACATCAAATCTCGTGCACATTTAACATCATGATACTGCTCCTATACTATTATTAAAAAAACACAATTTTTAAAATCTCCATAAAAGGTTATTGTTAAATAACAGGCAACAGCCGACTGCTAGTGGCTATACACGTTAGTAATATTTAACTAATAAGTAATATATGTAGGTAAAATTTATTGTTTTCTTCATCACAGTACCAGTATACGATTTATTTTAATTTAAATGTAAGAAAATCGATTTTTCTTTAGAAAATAACAAGAAATTAATATACAAGATGAGGCAGTAAAACGGCGATTTTCTAATGTATTTAAATGGTAAAAACCCGTTTCACTATCCCACCCTTTACATTTTAAGGATCTATGAAAAGGTTTTTTTAGTTGCATTTTATTTTGTACATTGTCAATCTAGTAAAATAGAAGTATAATATAGCTTTGAAATAATATAATCTGTGAAGTATAAATAGTTTGTGGGAGATTGCTTTAATGGAAGTATATAATACATAAATATTAATTTTATTGAGAATAAGCGATTATAATTTAAACTATGGAGTACAAACGATTGAAACATGAATCGTCGACCATTCCAACAAAATATAACAAGACATTGTATATGTGTTATTTGGCCCACTAAGTTTTTGCAAAAAAAAAAAAAACCAGTACAGTGGGGTCGGGGCATAGTGGGGACGGAGCATAGTTGGGTCGGGGCATATTGGGGACGGGGAGGTCACAGGTTTACAGGAATTTTTAAATCTGAAAGTGATAAAATCACTTTCGAAAAAACGCTTCGATGCAAATCGGTAGTTAGTATTTTCAAGCCAGTACAGTCCAAACCAAGCACAGTATAAACCAGCAAAGTTAGAAAGTTTTAAATGAAGGTTCTGTATTTACAAATAAGCATCAAAGCGTTCATTTGAAAGCGATTTTATTCAATTTTATCACTTTTATTTATAATAATTCTTGTAGACCTGTGACCACTCCGTTTCCTCATTGCTTTGATTACATTATGCCAATACTCTACTGTACTAGTCCTCTCGGATAAAATCGCTTTCAAATAAACGCTTTGATGCTCATTTGTAAATACAAAACCTTCATTTAAAACTTTCTAACTTTGCTGGTTTATATTGTGCTTGGTTTGGACTGTACTGGCTTGAAAATACTAACTACCGATTTGCATCGAAGCGTTTTTTCGAAAGTGATTTTATCACTTTCAGATTTAAAAATTCCTGTAAACCTGTGACCTCCCCGTCCCCAATATGCCCCGACCCAACAATGCTCCGTCCCCACTATGCCCCGACCCCACTGTACTGGTTTTTTTTTATTATGAGCCACTCAATATCTTATAAGGTTTATTAAGATATTTAATTTTTTTTTCATGTGGTTTCTATACAATGTGATCCCAATTTAAAAAAAAAAAATTGTTTTTACCCCCACCCCAACTTAGTTTTTTTAATAGCAACTTTTGAAACTTAAATGGTAACGCATACATTTCATTAACTTTTTAAATAGAGAATAATGTACTAAACATTTTGACTGGTCGTTAAACAATTTTGAATAACTATTTTTTAAGTTATAAGAGTTAAAAGTTAGAATGGGAGAGGAAGTGCGGTTGGGAAATGCGCGCAGATAAAAATTATACTACTCTCCACCTTCCACCGAAACTGGTTATCGACCAGTCAAAATGTTTAGTACATTATTCTCAATTAAAAAAACTTAATAAAATATAAACGTTACTATTCAAAATTTAAAAGTTGCTATAAAAAAAGTACGGAGAGGGGTAAAATAAAAAAAAAATGGTGAAATATTGAGATCATATTGCATAAAAACAATAGGAAAAAATACATTTCAATTTCTTATTAAACCCTATGAGATATTGAGCGGCCCATGATAAGAAAATTACCCTGCATTTGTACATTATAGTATATATTTATTAGTGATGGGCGCAACTGAATACTTTTGACTATCGAATGTTATTCGATAGTTTATGCGAACTATCGAATAATCATTCGAATGAAAACTGCATGCCTGAATACATTTAAACTGAAATCATACATAATATACTGACACGTTTTAAAGTTCGAGGTATTTAAACTAAGTTTCTTCTAGTTAAACGCAAGTTTTTTTTAAAGATAGGCAATACGCATATTTCATAGATGTGAGACCTATTTTATTTATTTTTATATTAGTGATAATCTAAGAAATTTAGAAAAAATTTTCAAAGATATCTTTATATTTACTATACTTACCTACTGTATATTGAAAATACTTATCTTAAAGTTTTGTAGGATTAGTCTTTTATTTTACTGTAGCGTATGATATGATGTATTTCTAAACATATATACTAACTTATATACTAAACTATTCACGTGGCGTAACAGTAGAGAGATCTGATTATAGCTTAAGAGGTACGATTATTATGTACGTCTGACGGTACGGGTCCAAGTGCGGTGTTTATTAAATCTTCCTTGCACATTAAACATTCAGAATTCGATTCCCGCGCATCAGAAATTAATTTTTGGCATTTTTTTTTCATTTTTTTAACTATGGTTATAACCTGCTCCTACTCTTTTTACTTTTATAAAATAAATAGATTCACATTTATACATATATAAATGACGTATATATTATATATATATATATATATATATATATAAATCAATTTCTATGT